CCCTTCGTACGAACAAGAGGTACCATTTCCAAAATGTAAACAATTGGCATCTGCTGAACCATAATCCCTAAATCAGAAACACAAATGTTTGGATTAACAAAAAGTGGAAAGCCTCATTCTTTGTTGTTGCCCTCCCAATACGATGGGTTTTTTTCACTTTCAGTGTTATGTGCATGACTAGCATTCTTTATCCAGGACTGGAAATGCAGTGGCTTTTTTGCCATAGTGACCAAAAAGGACAACGGTCATCAAATTCAAGCCAATCCAAACTGTAACTGACTTGAGGAGATTCGAAATCAAGCCTTCAATTAAGTGCTGCACATACGATGCAGTATGAAACAAATGAGATTTGATATTCTTAATCAGAGAAATATAAAAGGATATTTATTTTACCTGTTTAAAAGAGTAGGTGAATTTAATACAGAAAAAAAGTTGAGGAAATACAAAACAGAGTTTATGTATAATGTCATTGAAATCGATATGTGTTTTATATACCGAAAGTTTTAGCATTCCACTGCACCAGAGACATGTTAAGTTTTTTAGCACAGACCCTGAACTGCTGTCTGTTATATTTGCAGTGCATATATCCATATATATGGATACAGAATGCAGATATACAAAATAATCCATTGTATAGTCTGATGCTATAACAATGAGCAAACTGCTTAAACTCTAATTTTGAGGGAATGAAATTTGAAAGTCTTCTCCAGAGTACCTAATTTTTGGACAATGTTTTTTCTTGAAGAGATTAAATACAGAGCTAGTGGAGAGCACTGAGAACTTTGAGAAGGGTGAGGAAAGTACTCTCTGGGCTGCAGGTATTGTTGCTCAAGACCTGAGGCACAAGCAGTGATCTTGGAAGTCCTGCCCATTCTGTTTTGTACTGTGGGTTTTGGGCCATAATAATCCCAGTAGGACAATCAATAGCAAAGCATTTGCTGGGGTTTTGGGGCCTCCAATCTTCCTCTTCCAAAGCCATGCTCCAGGCATTGCTCCCAGCCGCCCTGCCAGAGGCTCTAAAAATTGTTGGATCTACTCCAGCTGCATAGCAGGAGGACAAGATACCGAGTGCTCCAGGTCCACCTGCCTAGTTTTACTAGGGTTTCTTGCAGCCTGTGCTTCTAAAAGCAATGGATTGGTAACTGCAAATTGAAGTCAGCTGTGATGTCTCTGAACCAGTAGCCCTTTGGAGCCTTTTGAGGTGGTCATTGGGTGTTGGCTTTGGTAAGATGATAGGGAAGCGGTCCTATTTCCACAGGTTTCTGCCTAGTTTTACACATGTTCATCACAGGTACTCAGTGTGCACTCAATTTTTTTTATTCCACAGATCTATTTGGCAGGGAAATAACGCTTAGGTAAGTTTCAGGGAAGACTGGGATTGTCCATATATAAAAATTAATGTTTTGAAAATTCTACAGAACAATGCAAAATCAGTAAAATATCCCTAAGTACAATTTTAATTGTCTTAATAAGTACTTTTCACGCTCTGTTTTCATTTTCCATTAATTTCTGGACACATTAGATTTCACTTTATGCTGTAAGAAGAAATGAAGTTTTTCAAATTTGTTGTTAGGTTATATATTAAATTTTAGGACTTTGCATTAGAATTCCCTTATGACTTCAAAATTATCAAAATAATTACTTTTGTCTGTGCAAATACAGAGAGTTTGCTTTCATTTCTGCTTTGTCATAAAAATTCAAAAATTCTAGGCAGTATAAAAAAAGTGTTCCCTGAATCCTAGTGTCAACATTCACCTACTTCCCTTTCTAAAATAGACTGTACTTTTACCAGACATCCGTTTAACCCCAGGCAAAAGGAAACTAGCTCTTGCTATGCTAAATTATAAGCTGTGTAAATTTCAGTTGTTGGGGATCTATTCTGTGCCTCCAATGGGAGAAAAAGTTATTTCCAGTGGTTATGACTTTTCGAAAGAAGGGAAGGGGAAGGGGAGAGGATAGGGAAAAGAAAAAAAGAAAAGAGGAAAGATTAGAGGAAAGGAAAGGGAAAAGAAAAAAGAAAATATTAGAGAAAAGAAAAAAAAAAGAGAAGGCAGAAGAAAATAAAAAAAAAAAAGACAAATCCTAATGTTACAACCCATTGACAAATTAGTGTTCTTGGATTAGTCTTACTGGTTAAATATTTGGGAGCACACAAAAATGTTTCATAAACACAGTGAGAGCACTTTTAATGTAAAACCTCTGTCCTTTCTTTCAGATCCTAGTAAGAAAACTGAGTTTTCTACCTAAATTACATTCTTCTAACTAAAAGCCAGAATGTCCTGCCTCTAGTTAACACTGCCAAAACACCATATCTCAACTATTCTTGCTTGTTTAAGTAGACTTCATTACTTCTTCTGTCTAGTTTTGAATGGTATTTCTGCTTTTGTTATTCTCTAGGCTCTTTTTCACAGTCCCCTGGAAACAAAACATAAAATCAATGATGCTGAATTTTATGTAGGCTTAATATTAGGCAAAAAATGAAAGTGCCTAGTCCTGCTGTCTATAGGATGCATTTGTGTAGTTCTCCACATAGCACTAAAGTAGGGTGACAGCAGTGACGTTTTAAGAGGAAGAGCCATATGGTTCCATTTTAAGGGCAGTTGGTTTTGTAACAGTTCAGAATAAAATGTTCATGACCCTTAAACAGATTCAGATTACCCATGTAGGTGGGCAAAGTAGCCATCCACAGTGCTGTGGAGTTCCAGTCTTTTCCATGTACTGCCCTGTTGGGAAAGCATGCCAAGAACTGTGATTTATCAAGAAAGAGGAGAAATGTTTCCTCCAGGGAATCTATAGATTCAGCAGGCAGTTGTCATGGTTTGCATGGTTACTTGAGGTCAGAATACAGTAATTAGTTCATACCTCTAGTCTTTAGTGCCTCCAATAAGAATGCCTTTGAAAGCATCCCCAGACAGAACAGAACAGTCTGTGGTGATATGCCATACTGCTAATTCAAATATGTAGACACTAGAAAAGGTTGTAAATTCACATTTAGGCCACTATATATCTGTGTGCATGTGCCTAGCTACCCACATGTGCATCCATATGAATACTAGACATCTGAAAGAATCTTAAATTACTTGCTTTGGCTCTTCTCCTTTCTTTTGATACTGAGCCTTCTATATGAATTGAAAGTGAGAAAATAGTTAATACAGTATCATTGTAAACCCTTCCTGATTGATGACTTGCCTTCTCCCAAGACCCGGCATCACAGCACAAACCAACTGGTATAACCTGCAGCTAAAACGACATCTTGGAATTCTGCTTCTTTTGTAGGGAAATGTATTTTTCAGTAATACGAATGTTCAGACTCAGGAAAAAAATGTATCTAAGGAAGTGTGTTATAAACAGAATCTTAAGCTATTGCTCTGCTTGATTACACTGATCTGTTTTCCTGAGAATCAAGTGTTATCATCTGTCATTGCATCCCTGTGTTCATTTCTTAATACTTGTGAGTGTGATACAAACCACTAAAAGAAATTCATTGCCCATACTAGACAGTTTCCTCTGTTACACGAACATACTTTTCCTATTGTGTCATTTGGTTTGATAAGTGCTAATACAAAGGTTCTTACCTAGTGCTTTTAAAACGCTTACTAATCTACAGAGACAGAAAAAGCAAACAGCAGTTAACAAATTGCTTTGACAGTGCGCTCCCTCGGGAGGCATTCATAACATTGTCACCAATGTTATTATTTCTCAGGAGCACCATTAACAGTCACACCACCAAATGTGTATGTAATTCTGTAACATCAGTCCCAGTGCTGGGCAGCTTTCCCGATCAGAGGTTAACTAGGAGCAAAACCACATCACTATTGAAAAGAAAGTGGAAACAAGCCTAAAGTGTTAAACACACAGTTTAAAGTCCCATTAATACAGTCATTTACAGGTAGCAGAACTGAACTGTGAACACAAGTGAGCAGTATATTGACTTTTTAAAAATTGTATGCAAAGGGACAGGTTGTATTTTAATTTCAGTTTTGATTAATAGTTTTTGTTCTAGTCTGTTTTAGTCCTGTTAGCCAGAAAAATAATAATTTTGAGAAGAACAGTGTGTCGATATAGATAATAAGTTCTCTATGAACTACTGAACTATTTGAAGACAGATATAATTGGTGTAAGAGTAAACAGGTAAATAGTAGTCAGAAATTGTCACAGAATTATTTGTTCACAACATTTGTGAAACTTTGACTGGAAACCCCTGTGCCATTATGGTTTGTTGAAAATCAAAAACATATACAGAAAATAGTTCTGAAGTAAACAAAATTTAGAGAAAATGTACCAATAGCAAAACACAAAAGATACTCTATGTGTTAATTCAGTCAAGACTAAGAAGTAGCTTGACTTCAGGATTTCTGACAATTCAGAGCTCTCTGATATAGGAGAAAGAAATGTATAGTTAGCTGGAGCCAAGAATACCATCGTGTCCCCCCTACACCAAATTAACAATGGGATCTTTTAACCACTGGAGTAATCTGTGTCCTTCTGAAAGATATGCTGCATCTCAGAAGCTACAAAGGCTGATAATTTTGGGACAACACAGGAGTCTAGACTAGACAATAATGTACAATTTCCTCTGCCCTTAATATCTATTTATGAATTTAAGAATCTGCAATTCAACAAAGATGAATGAGGTTAACAGAATCTGGCCTTCAGTCATATATATTTTATCATTTAATTACATTTCCATTTGAGGATTATAATTCAGTTCTCTTATGACTTTATCTCTGAAATTTTTCTACAGATCACAGAAATAGTCTTTCTTATTCTAGTAATTAAACTTTGAACCAAATAGAAGTTCTTCAGCTTGAGACTCTGGATTGTCATGAGAAACATCATTTTAGCTTGTTACGTGGGAACACAGTAATGATACAGCACAAAAAGCATTAGTGTCTGTTTTAGCCCCTGAGCTATGCAAATGTGTGGTTCTGTTTTGATCATGCTTGATATGCCATGTCTTGACTAGGTTTTATTCCATTCTGTTTTTACAGGTTAGTAAGAGTTTAATCAAGAAAAAAAAAAAAAAGTGTCTAATGAACAGCAATTTGAAGCACAGCATTTGGAAAGGTCAGAATGGTACATTACATCCTTATTATCCAAAAGAACAGATGACTTTAATATCCTGGCAGCATTTTCCTGTGAAGAAGATATTAAACAAGAACTGAAAATGGCACAAGGTTGCCTCTTACTTTCTTCTGACAAAGACTGCAACAAGATGATTAAACGGTACAGAATAAATCTCTTTCTAATGTTCAGTTGTAGATCCTGCCTACATTTCAAAAACCTAAGCTAACCGGAGTGCCAAAACACATGCTATTTGTTTCAGGTCCCTTAGAACTCATTTTACTGCTTATATGACCCAGTTTCCATTAATATTTTCTGGTCTTAAAGATGGAAAGGCATATTAATTAAAGGTACACAATGCAACGAGTTTTGTCAAATGCTTGTGTTGAATTACAACAAAATAAGCACTACAACAGCACTGCTTAAAATATAGGGGTTTCAGCTTCTGTTTGAAAAGACCTAACAACAGAGATAATGTATTCCAACATGCAATGCACTGCATGTGTCCTGTTTTGGAGAGTCCTTGAAGGTATGGAACTGTTTGGAAGCAAAGGAACTTTTAGTGTATATCTTGTTAACAATTTCATTAATGTAAGGAGCTGTCACATTCCTTAAACCATTATCTGTATGAAGACTCTTACTTTATAGGTCTAAGGAGAGCAAAAAATCTTCTGGAGCTTGATGTTGTATTTTAATGTTAAAACACACTATCAGGGTTCTCATGTTAAATCTTCTTATGACAAATGAACAAATGCTATGCTTAAAAATCAAAAAATTAGTATATAGCCTACACCTGTATTAGTTAGTAGTCATCATTCCACATGAGATATGAGGTCTGCCATTACATAAGAATGTAACAAGTTCAATATTAAAGATATTCATAATTATTAAAGAAAACACTTTACATTATTCCAGAAGATCAGAAGATATCTGTTTTGAAGTATTGCTGGCTGAAGTAGACCTACGTGGATTTGCACAAGCTCACAAGTAGAAATCATATGGAACCTTTTTTTTCCACACCACCCAGGGAATACATTTGAAAAGAAATTTCTCCATGGTACATTACATGCAGCATCTTGCTGAGAAAAATCATTCTGCTTCAGTCAAGAGAGATAAAATGAACATTTCCAATATATGTTTTCAGTGCCTCGAATATATATGTGTGTGTGTCTGTGTGTATATGTGCATGCACTGTTGTCTTTTTCTGCACCTTAGGTGATTTTATTTTCCACTGGAGATTTTAAATGTATTTTTCATCCTTTATTTTGCAGATATAAAGTAGGATAGTTTTTACAGTGCACTGGCAATATGCGACCTATTTTGAAACTCAGAAGGTTATGCAAAACTGTAGTCAGAAATCCCTAATGGGTCTTCTTTTCATAAATACCTACAGAAATTAATGTTTTCCATATGCCTAGAAAATATCCACTAGATACAAGTTTCAATCAAGTTCCTTGTAATTCAGCTAATAGTCCCTGACACTGTAGTGACTACAGCCGAGTATGCAGCCTACAGGAAATAATTAGCAAAACTCTGTTTTTTCAGTTCCTGATTATTATCCACAATAGAACTGAGTATTATAATTTGAGTCACTAAGAGCTCTGACCATTTATACTTTTGCTATGAAAACATAAAATATATGCTGCTGTATCCATTTCTTAAAAGACCATGGTTGGGGAATGACTGAATAGAAAATCCAGGGTATGGAGGTAGTCACACAAACAACTCCAGGATTTCTTAGAGGAAGAGTCCAATGTATCAGATGAAGACAGTGGGGTTTGTTATACTCTTCTTAGTTTGCTCATGATTATGGAAAATGGTGTTACTCTGTCGCACACTATTTAACATGGGGAACACTTTGAACACATTATGCAGCCTTATTTAGTCATTTTATGAAATGGATTTTTTCTGCTAGGTCACAGTCATTCTTTTTTTGAAAAAATACTATAAAAATCAAGTACATTTTATGAACCAATATGCCAGTTTGAAGTTAAACTTTTAAGAGGCCCCTCCTTTCATGACTTATCTTCAAGAAATCATGTGGTGGTTAGGCATTTCCATAAAGTCTTTCTTTAATAAGGAAGGTGAAGAGTAAAAGTTGAATGTAAAATGTTGGACCTGTGAACCCATGCGGATATCTCAAAGCAAAGGATCATGTAATCCCCCATAAAGTACATTCATTAATTTAACAGAGATGAAAAAAGGATGTGGCTGATGGGAAAAGTGTCATATTGAAGCAAGATCAGAAAAGATAGACATGAAAACACAACAGACCATGTGCAGCACACATGTCCCCACACATGTGACTTTGAACCAGAAGGTGCTCGTTCACTGTAATCCCACTAAGGAGGGCAATCACATTCTGTGAAGTATTGCTTAAAATACCATTTGTGGCAGCTATCACTATGAAAAGGTTTTTCAGCTTCTGTTTGAATAGACCTACCAACAGAGATCATGTATTCCAACATGCAGTGCACTGCATGTGTCCTGTTTTGGAGGGTCCCTGAAGGTATGGAACTGTTCAAAGGGAAAGGATTTTTTAGTATATCTCATAGGTAATCTTACATCCCTTCAGATATGCACCATCAAATGGGTCTCTAAGCTCTGCACAGCATCCTGTGCAGATCCTGCCAGTGTAAAGGTTATGCAATATTTTGGTATTCTAAGCTCTTGCAAGGTTTTCCTAAAAGAAAATAACTCCATTACCATTTTCACTGTCTGTCCTGGGTTCAGCAGTAGCAGTCATTTTTATCCTTGTTGGTAGCTGTTGCAGCGCTGTGTTTTGACTTTCGGCCTGGGAACAGAGCTGGTAGCAATGATGTTTTGGTTTGGCCAAGGACTTTGTGAGCCTCATGCTCTGCCAGGGAGGAGGGAAAGCTGGGAGGAAGCAGAGACAGGACACCTGACCCAAACTGACCAAAGAGGTATTCCATACCACAGCACGTCATGCCCAGGATGTAACTGGGAGTTAGCCGGAAGGGCTGGGAGACTGCAGGGTTGGAGGAGGCATCGGTCGGTGCTTGGTCAGGCTGGGGGGGGGGGGGGGGGGGGCGAGTTGGTGAGGTGTTGTTATTTCCTTTATCATTATTATCATTGGTGGTAGCAGTAGTGATTTGTGTTATACCTTAGTTACTAAACTGTTCTTATCTCAACCTGTGGGAGTCACATTCTTTTGATTCTCCTCTCCGTCCCTCCGGGAGTAGGGGGAGGGAAAGAAGGAGGGGGGAGTGAGTGAACGAGCTGTCTGGCTGGGTTTAAGCCATGACACTGTCAAACAAAAAAAGATGTGCACATGAGAATTTGTTGCTGCTGGTTTAGATGAAGGCAAGAGCCCAAAGGTGGTACAACCGGTGCAACCCAGTGGCAGCTGCCTGCAGACTGCTTTGATACAGCAAGCCAGCTAAGTTTATCCTGAAACCAGAGAATGTGCACAGAACTGAAGATCCATGTGTGCGCAGCATACTGCAGTCCTGTGCCTGTTCAGGGTAATTGCCATGTGGGTCACTAACTCCATGTACAATGGTCTCCTGGTCAGGATCTCTGCACATGCATACATACATACCTGTTTTGCATCTCCATATGAAAAGCTCCTTTTGTGCTCCAGAGCATTGTATTCATATCTGCACACATTAAAAATCTCCACACATCTACTGCAAACACTCTTTGCAAAGGTCTCTGTGTCCATCAAGCTGGAATTGTGCAGGAAGTCAAATAGGTATATAATTATGCAATTTACGCCTCCAAATGCTGCTAAAAGGCTAAGTACATTTTTGCGAGTGTGCTTTTTGTGTCTGCAGCTCAAAATCCAGTAATACTTGAATTTCAATTTGTTTTCTTTTGACACACAATGTTACTTGATATTATATGAATAAATAATCCATGAGCTAGAAAACACTAAAAGGGAGGAAGGAAGTTGTATTATTAAAGAGAGATTAAAATAATTTGACATGAAAGGCATTTTAGAGACAATACAAATTGTCTGATTTACCGATGTGTACAGAAGCTAATACATCATTCATCCCTGCTACCACCTGACAGCTGCTCAGCTTCTAATGGGAAATGTGATGGTGGTCACAGTCCAGTTCATAGTGGACAGGTGTTGGCATCACAAAAAGTCATTATCACAACGGGCACTAATTGGCACCTGTCGTGGTTTAAACCCAGCCAGTAACTCAGAAACACGCACTCACTCGCTCACTCCCCCTCCCTCTTCCTTCCCCCTCTCCCGAAGGGATGGGGAGAAAAATCAAAAGAATGTAACTCCCAAGGGTTGAGATAACAGCAGTCCAGTAACTAAGGTACAACACAAATCACTGCTGCTACCACCAATAATAATAATGATAAGGGAAATAACAAGGGAAGAGAATACAACTGCTCACCACCTGCCAACCGATACCCAGCCCAACTGAGCAGTGATCTCCCCCTTCCAGGGAGCTGCCCCCAGTTTATATACTGGGCATGACGTGCTGTGGTATGGAACACCTCTTTGGTCAGTTTGGGTCAGGTGTCCTGTCTCTGCTTCCTCCCGGCTTCATTTCCTCCCTGGCAGACCACGAGACTCAGAAAGTCCTTGGTCAGAGTAAACATTACTGAGCAACAACTAAAAACATCGGTGTAATCAGCGCTGTTCCCAGGCTGAAAGTCAAAAACACAGCACTGCACCAGCTACTAAGAAGGAGGAAATGACTGCTACTGCTGAACCCAGGACAGCACCTTTGTTGAAAGTCTCGGCAAAGAGGCCAGTGATTGAATCAGCATGGAGGCTGACTGGCAAGCTCTGCTAGCATGGGATGCTGGGCTCAGCTTATCCTTCACTGAAAATATCCTTACTTTTGCACATGTTTCAAAGGAACAGCCAGGTTCTAACACTTTCTGTTTGCCTATAAGTTCTAGGAGCATGTGTACTACTGTGGCATAGCTCTGGAAGCAGTGACTTTGTACAGAGGGGTGAGACACATCTTAGGGACACTGAAGCCTGCCCACTGATGCTGGCCAACAGAAGAACTTGTGGACTTAGCCTTGAGCTGGAAGAAGATCAAATGAAATAAAACCAAAGGCTGATGTAAGGGAGAAACCACACGTGACCCACATGGGACTGAATTCTCATCCAAGCTTTTCTCAATTTTAGCTTATTTACATGCAACTGTGATTCTGTGGACCACTTTACTCCTCTCTGCCTCAGTTTATTCTTTTGTATGAAGGTCATAATATTTGTCTCACTCTTGGGCATAATATAAGGCTATGCTAACTAACCAGTGCCTTAAGGTATTTAAACACCTGTGATGGAACAATATATACATTAAAATGCAGGCTTCAAATATATAGGTACTTTGGTTTCTTAATAATCCTATTAAATGTGTTTCATTACATACAGTTTCATACATACAGCTTCTTCTTCCACTCAGGCTATCTTGTCCAAATCAATGGTTAAAATGGGTTTTCCTTTAGTGTACAGAAACCTATACTGTTTGTGGGTTAATTATAACTTTTCTTTTACTTTTTAAGCTCTATAGACAAATGTTATATAGGTCAGTAATGTGACTGTAGGATTTGAGAATGCTTTTACTAGTAATAAAAAAAGAGTAAAAATAGAAGGGCTGGGGAAAAGGAAAGAACAGTTCTAGTTTTATGTGTATGGAAAAAGTGTTGCATTTGTTGCACATGGCTTTGTCGGTGTATAGATAAAAGTGAGAAAACCAAACTGGGAAACTGATACACAAAGTCAGGTAAAATATATCATAAAGGACTGAAAAAAAAATTATGTAAAAAGTTTGAGGTTTATCTGTTTGCATCACTGTTCCTAAGGCTTACCTTCATTAGAAAGTATAAAGGTATAAGATAATATGAGCAGTTACAGAGGCTCAAAACACCACCAAGCCAGATTCTGATCTCTTCCCATTGATTTTTCACTGCTGTATTACATCTGATTTCAAGGAAATGTCTTCTCATTTACATACATCTACATGAATTCAGGATCAAGCCACCAAGTTTTGCTTCCTGCAGTGTTAATAATGAGCAGTGGCTGCTGCAATGTGCTCCTAAAGACACTCTGAAAAAAGAATATGTCATTGTTAGCCTAATGAGGGGAAAGGGAGAGAGATTGCTAAATGTTTTATCTCTAGCCCAATTAAAGGAGAGGGAGAAAAAAAGATGGGGAAGACATCCAAGAAGGAGAGCTGTGTACATGACAGATTTCTTCCTGCCTTGTTACAAGAGCATTCTCGCTAGGTAGAACGGAAAAAGACAGGAGGACGCGGGAATACAAAGGATAAATCCTGCAACTGAAATCAGACTGTGGCTGCATGGACCATCAGTCTGAGCTGCGCATTGGCTTCCAAAAATACCTGGCTTGGGAAGGAAAGAATATGGTAACAAGTACTCTGTTGTCATTACTGTCATTACTATCCATGCAGATATGAAGGAGCAAGGCTTGCCTGTGTGCTGAGAGCCTCCTTGGCCATCCACAGTCACCTTTCAGGGCTACTATAGAGGGAGACGACTGCTTGTCATCTTTGCCAGTTCGGATGTTGCTGAGCTCACTGACAACTCACTGTTTATAAAACAAGCGAAACTTGATCCCATGAAGTTTTCTTGATCCCAGAAACATCAGGCCTGCCAGAATGGGTGCCTACATCTCAAACAGCATGCTA